GTTAAAACTTGTGCATAGTTCGTGAAGTTCTCGTGTTGTATTTTTCAGCTCCATTAATTCACTTATATTCCTCTGTAAATTGTGTGTTATTTTTAACATTTCGTCAAACCTTTTTTTAAAGTTCTCAGTTTCTTTGCATTGGGTTACAACAAGTTCTTTTAATTCCCAGAAGTTTCTTAGCATCCACTTTTTAAAGTCTGCTTCAGCTAATGGAACACAGCCTTTCTCCATCAGGCCTTGTTCTGTTGCTGATGAGGAACTGTGATCCCCTGTAGAGGGAGAGGCGTTCTGAGTTTGGGTATTCTCAGCCTTTTTAGGCTGGTTTCTTCCCTTCGTTATAAATTTATCTATCTGTGGTCTTTATAATTACCGTCTTTATAGTTGGGTTTCTGAATGGACGTCCAACTTGTTGATTCCCGGCGCTAGAATCTGAGCAACCCACTGCGCCGCCAAAACAGCGGCTTTAAGATTGATGGTGCTTTTCTGACTCTGCACCAAGAACCGCCGCTCCAAGGCAGTGGCAAAACCGCCTCACCGGCTTCAAGAGTTGCGCTGGCGACACGTGGGGCTCCTCCGCTGGGAATCTCCTGGTGCCTGAGCAACAAAGATTGATCTGAAAGTGTGGCGTCCTCTCCTTCTCTGCTCTTTCAGTGGGAGCTACAATCCCGAGCTGCTAGTGATCAGCCATCTTGGATCTCTCTTTTTTATCTTTGAACAGGTTCTTATATTGAAATGTAAGAATTATATTTTTATATCCTTATATTGAATCTGTTCAAAGAATCTCTTTGAACAGATTCTTATATTGAAAGAGGTAGAATGATATTTTAACTTTTATATTTTCTATAGTTTCAAATATACTGATAAGTGCTTTTGAGGAGATAAATAATATCCACAAGGCCAGACAGTTTTAAAAAATCTAAGCTGTGGACATAATTCTATTTTGGCTACATTGCATTACAGACTAATACAGTCAGATCTAATAGTTATAATACATAATAGTCAATGTTTGGTCATGTTTCACTGTAATTACCTCATATTATATTTCCAATCAGAGATATCAGAACTGAATGGCACTTCCATTATAACTTGATGTAAGCTCTAGCTCACTGAAAATATACTTGGAGCATAAATCTCATCTGGAATTGTGCACACACTGAAGTGGAAAAGAAATTAGAAACCATCTAACTTAACCTGTCCATTTTACAGATGCAGAAACTGAGGACCAGGGTCCAAGCATATGCAGCAAATGAGCAAGAGAGCTCATGGCACAGCCTCTTAAATAGTTACTATGTGCTCATTCTTTCAATTTATTTCAAAACAGAGAAACTATTACACAATTACACATACCCTACAATTATAATAACAACTTCTATTTGTTAAATACCTGTTATGTGCCAGGTCATCTTTTAGATGTTTTAGGTACAGTCTTTTGTCTGAACACTCAAAACACTGGAAGGCACTATGCCCTTCCCACAGGTGAGGAATTTGAAGATGAGAATTTAACTAACACACCTAAGATTATACCTAAAGCAACTGCCAGACCATAATTAGAATCCCAGTTTGTTTAATAACAAAATATATGTTCTTTTCACTACAGTATATCTACACTTGTAGAAATAAAAAAAGAAAAGAACATAGTACATATGGATAGCATCCTCCCTCACCATAACTCTGCCACCGTTTTGTTTTTTATAGTTCAGGTCCTAGTGCATATTCCTGCTCTCCATATACAGAATAGGAATGATTTTCTTTTTTAATTTGTTAAAGAATATTTGACAGAAAATCTCTTGTAGAAGAAGGTAAATTATCAGCAGTAGTAGACGACTACAAAGATCATTGATCAGTGCTTTTCAAACTTCAATGTGCGTGTGAATTACTGGGTGATAGATCTGGTTAAAAATGCAGATTCTGGCTGGTCATAGTGGGGTGGCTCACACCTGTAATCCCAGCACTTTGGGAGGCTAAGGTGGATGGATCACAAGGTCAGGAGTTCGAGAGCAGCCTGGCCAACATGGTGAAATCTCATCTGTACTAAAAATATAAAAATTAGCTGGGAGTGGTGGTATGCACCTGTAGTATCAGCTACTCCAGAGGCTGAGGCAGGAGAATTGCTTGAACCCAGGAGGCTGAGGTTGCAATGAGCCAAGTTCATGCCACTGCACTCTAGCCTGGGAGACAGAGCAAGACTCTGTCTCAAAAAAAAAAAAAAAATGAAGATTCTGAATCAGTGGCCCTGGAGTAGAGCTTAGATGCTGCATTTCTAACAAGTTTCTGGTGATGCTGAGCTACTGGGACTGCAGAGCATACTTGAGAGTAGCAAGGCCCTAGGTCACTCTGGCAAAATCCCTACAGGGCCAGAGGGCTGATGTTTTGATGCATGGTTGATCTGCTGACCTTCCGTGGTTTGAGGCAGCTGAGACAGACACATGGTAACACACTGTCGTCACCATTTCCATGAAGCTACTCCTATCAAGCCACCAATATGCTCCATGTTATTACATCCAATGGTTGGCATTTGGTCCTCAATGTTCTTGGCCCACAGACAGCATTTGACAGAGGGGTCCCGCTCCGCTCTGAAATCCTTTCCTCATTTGCCTTCAGTGACTCCTGCTGAAGTAACCTTGATAGGAGTAGCTCCAAACCAGGAAAGGTCAACAGATCAACCACACTTCCAATCATCAGCCCTCTGGCCCTGCAGAGATTTCACCATAATAATCTAGGGCCTTGCTACCCTTGAGTGTTGGTCTACAGTCCCAGCAGCTCAGCATCAGCAGAAGCTTGTTAGAAATGCAGCACCTGGGCTTTACCCTAGAACTCTAAAATCTCCTTCTTTTCCTCCTAATCCACCAGCCTCATCTTAGTTTATGAAACCCTTTCCTCATTTGCCTTCCAGTGGACAACACTGATGAAGTACACTTGGCACAGATGAGGTTTAGCCTGGTGTAATCCAGACAATGCTAAGTGCAGACTGCTCGACCCTATATATATAAAACTGATGTTGTGGAAGGGAGCACATTCAAGCTTATCAACTATCTGACAAAGACTTTACTCAACTCGGGCCTAAAAGCTTCAAGTGTGTGTGTCTATTCGTGTGGCCCAGGTGAGCCTAAAAGCTCCACCTGTCATTGGGAAATGCCGCTGTCATCGATCATGGCTGGGCTGACATCTTCTCATTTACTTTAGATAAGTAAGCTTTGTTTAATATATTCAAGTAAGGCCTAGCCATTCCAATTTGATCTTACTCATAACATTCGTGGTTAAACATTTCACACATATGGCCATTAACATCTTTAGATACGCATGAAATACTTCAACATTCATCCTTCGAAGCATCAAAGAACTTAGTAATTGCCCAAAAAGTTACTTTAAGAAGTCCAACTGGCTTTATGCTAATCTTTGGAAGGAAATTATTACCTTTGTGTCTAGACTGTGATTTGTACTATTATGTCTTACTTCATCTTTAAACATTTGGGTTCTGATCTTTTCCAGAGTAGTTCGAATCTACAGAAGGAAAAAAAAAAAACATTTTATTTGTTTCAAAGGCATTTAATGCCAAAGGCTTTTTTCTCAATACCATTTACAGGGTACCTGATTATCTAGAAAGTAATACACATATACATATATTGATCTCAGATTTAAATAACTGCCACCATCAACCTAACTTGCATTTAGGCTAATATTGTTTAGATTGCTTAAAGTAAGCATTTGGTCTTTAGAACTCTTTCTCAGACAAATCTAAAATATGATCACTTAAGTGAATATTATCCCCAAAACAATTATTATTTAGTAATTAGCACCTAATACTATTTAGTTCTGTTTTGTCTTTTTAGTAATTTAGCACTGATTTACTGTTTAGTAATTACTATAAAACAATTACTGCTTAGTAGTCACTACAAAATAATTACTAATTACTACACAATAATTACTACCTAGTAATTACTACAAAATAATTACTATTAAGTAATTAGTACAGAATAATTACTGAGAGATTATATACATTAATGCATGAAATATAAGCCCCATGTCTTGATGACCCATGGAATTTGCAAGACACTCAAAAATGATGGAATTAATTGATCTGAACAAGTTATGAACTATGTCAGAATTTGTCCATTATTTAGTTAAATAATTAAATAATCCAAAAAGGTAAAATGTGAAATTTCTCTTTTCATTCAGCATCCTTTTAGACTATAGGACTATAAGAATAGGAGCCAGGTTTATACTCTAGCACATTTTTTTTTCGAGAAGGAATCTTTCTCTTTTGGTCAGGCTGGAGTGCAATGACTTGATCTTGGCTCACTGCAACCTCCGCCTCCCAGATTCAAGCGATTCTCCTGCCTCAGCCTCCCCAGTAGCTGGGATTACAGCTGGCCACCAGCACGCATGGCTATTTTTTTGTATTTTTAGTAGAGACAGGGTTTCGCCATGTTGGTCAGGCTGGTCTCAAACTCCTGACCTCAGGTGATCTGCCCGTCTCAGCTTCCCAAAGTGCTGGGATTACAGGTGTGAGCCACTGTGCCCAGCCTACTCTAGTACATTTTAAGTGCCTAATAAATGTCTTTCTAAGAAACAGTTAAGAATATATACTTCTGTCAGCCATTATCATCTTGGATTCTCATAAGACTTCACATGTTTAATGAAGTGACGTGCCAATCCACAGTCACTGGCAATAGTTACCATGAACTGTGAAAAGGAACAAGGTAAGGAGAGGTACCAACTCAGCAGGAAATATAAACATATACTTGGGAACATGATCAACACTCATGAAACCACTGGAAAACATTATAAAACAGTAGGAAATCCAGTGGTGAATAGTGTGGGACAAATTAAGTTCTGATAGGTGTTCTGAACCCTCCTGGCCCATCATTCAATTTTACTGAGTGAGGAAAATCATTTTACTCCAAGTGTAGGAACAGTTTCATATCCTCAAGAGAAATGACAAAACATCGGTTTAAATTTCAGCTAGGAAGACTGTCCTTTGCCAAATTAGAATTGTTCCTTTACATGTGTTCTGTTACATATATGGAGAGGGAAACAAAGTCCTCCAGCCCATATGGGAATTCATCTTTAAAAAATCATATCATACTAATGATTTCTGCTACCCACATACCTTTTTCACGTACTCGGTTTCTTCAATAATGTGAGCAGATGTAGACTCATACAAAGCAGAATTGTCTTCCATCTTATCCCTTGGAGGAATTTCTGTGGTCACTGTCACTGTTGTCATTGTGAATTCTGATTTTAGAAAAACATAAATCAGCTAAGCAAAACAGACTGTATTGATTGCATGATTATGTGGTTCATAAACTGAAATAAGTTGTTTTATCACTATAGTCAAATACAGCAGAAAAGCTATAATTCATTGGTATCTGTATAGATTCATAAATCCAGGAATTAATTTAATATGAAGCAATATCATCTGAAGGAATCATTAATTTAAAAAATTAACATTTAAATAATTTAAGAAGGTAAAATCTGAAATTTTTCTTTTTATTCAGTATCATCTCAGACTGTAGAATCTCAGGAGTAGGAATGAGGTTTATATTCTAACACATTGAAAGAATGTAATAAATGCCTGTGGAATTAACATAATATAATTATAACAAAATTATGTCTTGTGTGTGTGTACCTTCATATATAGTCTGTAAAGGCTATTTACTATTAGGAGAACTAATAGTAAACGACCGGAAAAATCCCATGCCAACAAAAAGCAGATAGATTAAATAAACTATCAACGGCTATGAAGCCATCACTCAGATGTACTATTATCTTATGAAAAGGCATAGAGTAGAAAAGAATATGTAATATAGTTTCTATAAGAAGGGCAGGAAATATTAATGGAAGGAAGAAATCTATGTCTTAATGTTTTAATACTAAACCATGTATATATTTTATCTAACTATAAAATAAAATTGATAGAAAAAGTAATCATCCAAAATAAAGATGAAATGAAATAAACAAATACATCCATATAACAAGTTCTGTAACCACAAGAATTTTTTCATGTGATTAAAAATGACATACTAGGGACTAATTATCCCTAGTGTGCTATATTTTAAAACAGAAAGAATAGTAAAACAATCTTAAACTATATTCACTCATAATATTGTTAGTGGAAATACTGGTATTGCTCTTTTGAACTATGAACTGTGTGTATGTGTGTGTGTGTGTGTGTGTGTGTATGTACATAGGTTCACACTATAAAATAAAGCCAACAGGTAATTGCGTTAACATCATGAATAATCAAGCTATTTAGCATAAAAGAAAAAATGAAATATAGAACATAAATGTAGGTGAAGCTGAAAGTCAAGGATGGTGGCTCACATCTGTAATCCCAGCACTTTGGGAGGCCAAGGAGGACCCATCACTTGAGGTCAGGAGTTTGAGATCAGCCTGACTGACATGGTGAAACCCCGTCTCTACTAAAAACACAAAAATTAGCTGGGCATGGTGGTGCACGTCTGTAATCCCAGCTACCTGGGAGGCTGAGGCATGAGGAGCACTTGAACCCAGGAGGTAGAAAACAATGATTTATTTTTCTTTAATATATATATTTAATATATCATATATATATATATATATCTCAGATATATATATCATATATATATATATATCTGAGATATATATATATATGTTCTACCTCTATTCACCGAGAAACTTAGTAGCAATTAGCATCCCTAGTGGCCAGACTGTGGTCTTTGAATATCATATCCTACTAAAAAGAAACTAGGACTTCTTGGCTGATCCAGGTCTGGGGTAAGAAATACATAAAGTGAGCCTGAGAGATCTGGTCATGCCAGCAAACAAAAAAAGTAATCAAATACTATTTGAATAAGACACAAAACCCATCCTAAAAAGGAATGTGATGGATTGAAACTTATCAAAAATGTTAAATTCCTGAACTGATGATGGCTGAAGAAAAAACCCACAACAACCACAGTACTCACTCTCCACCTTCAGAAACACATAAGAAACAGCTCGATGCACATGGACTAAAAGTATACTACCCCCATAGCCTAAAGTAAAATTAAAAAAATAAAGAAATAAAGCTGGCAAAAAAAGAAACATTTAATATATGAACTATATTTCATAGTAGCCAAGTAGTTGATGAGGGAAAGTTTTTTATGGAATTCCAGCTAATAAATTCAAAAGGATTGATAAAATTGAAAAACCTGTATTTTACAACACCTTATGAAGTAAAAAACCTAAGCATCATTACCTAAAGCTAAAAACATTAGTGAATATTTAACAAGGAAACTTAACATGAGAGACCCCATTAATCAATCTTAACATAAATTAAGGATCTTAAAAGATATAGGACCAAATGCAATATATGAATCTTGTTTAGATTTTGATTCAAAAAAAAAAAAACTAGTAAAGACATTTTTGAGACTAACTGGATAATATATGATGTAAAAGAATTGTTGTAATTTTGCTAGCTGTGATAATTATGACATTCCTTAAAGGGGTTGTATCTGTTAGTGACACCTACTGACATATTTGCAGGTGAAACGGCATTACATTTGGAACTGCTTTAAAACTCAAAGAGTGAGACAAGGAGAAGGGGATAAAGATTAAGGAAATTTAGCAAAATATAAATAACTATTGAAACTGGGTGATGAGTCTGTAGGGTTCATTATATTCCTTTATGTATTTTGGGTTTGTTTGAAATTTCTATAGTAAACAGTAAATAACTAATAAGTAAATTGTAATGAAAAACCCTGTGGGGTAGGATTATTAATACCATGTTATTGATAAGCCAAAACTCCACTCCCATGGTGACATGAACTTACCAAAGATTAAGTAAAATTCATAGAGCTAAAACTCAAACATTGGTCTTTTAGAAGTTCAGATATGTTTCCATCGTATTAAGAGTGGCTTCCCTGGAGAGAAATAATAACAAAATATTTAAAATCAAACAATGACCTAGGCTGCAAAAAAGACAAAGAATTTGCATATTTGAGGGTATCACTTGGAAACAAGATAGCTTCTGGGAATACTACAAAGTCCTGTATTTATCCTTTAATCTTCAATGAAATTGACAGAGTATGTCAAGAATTTTCCATTTTATTATAAATCCTCTTAGCGGCTATGGCTTCTATTAAATATTTGTTTCGGCTGAAGTTGATTTGGCAGCAGCAACTCTGCAAGTGGGCTTTTGCAAAATGTGAGTGGAAGTACGTCTCTTACTGGGTCCTCTGAAGTCTTTTCTGGGATTAAGATCTTGGTACAAAACAACATTTAAATGCCTGAAGTAAGAGGAGACACCCACAGGGACAATACGCAGTATGCTTGAAAACCAGACGGAGGATGGTCCTGCCAGGGTAGGGGTCAGCAAACCCCAGCCTGGGAGCTCAATCCGATTTCCTTCCTGTTTGTACAGCCCCGGAGCTAAGAATGGTTCTTACATTTTTGAATGGTTCAACAAAAAATCAAAAGAAGCATGACAGTTCATGGCACATGAAAATTATATGAATTTCAAATTTAGTATTCATAAAAATGTTTGGAAAAAAGTAAAAGGACATTTCATGACACATGAAAATGATGTGAAGTTCAAATGTAGTGCCCATAAATAAAGTTTTACTCTAGCACCACATGCCCATTCATGTATCATATAGTCTGCGCTGCTTTGGCACCACAAACAGCAGAGTTCAGTAGTTGTGACAGAGAAAGTATGTGGCAAGCAATGCCTAAAGTATTTCCTATCTGGCCCTTTAGAGGATATGTTTGCTGACCTCTGGGTTAGGGCTTGGCAAGGAGTGGCGGAAGGACCAGGGGGAAAACAGCGGCAAGCAAAGCAATCAATCTAGCCTGAGTTCGTTTTTTCCCTCCAGTACCATAGTCTTGATCTACAGTCCTATTCGATTGATTTACTTTCATTTCCCTTTTAGTATATTATGCAATGTGTAAACTAACAAATGATAAGAGGTATTTTATCATAGGAATGAATGGCCAATTTAAAAATTGCATTAAGGATTACGTCTTTTATCTTAAAATATACTCTCTTATGCATCTTTGGTTCTTAAAATCAAGGAATTTTGCTTCTTGATCACTGATATTTCTGAAATCATCCACCTATTCCACTCACTTGTTGGGCCATCTTAAACAAGGTACATAAAACCTTAGTCTTCACTTACATAGCTGTCAGATAGGGGTGATAACATCTA